CGTAGTACCTCCAGAATACAATTCAACAATTGTTTTTGCGCAGAACATCAAATACATGTTTTGTTCACTCTCTCAAGACGCAAGAATATTGTCTTTCGACGACATTTGCAGTCAAACATGCAGATACGCGAACAATTTTTCAATTGCCTTCGCTGGTTATGGCCAACGCCCTCATGACATCCTCAACATTCCGAAATTGTGAGGTTACATTTTAATCCCGCCAGTCGAAAGAGGCCATACGAGTCTTCTGTAAGACTGAAAAACCTTTGTGAGCTCTACCGAGTAATAGAGTGCCTTAGGAAAGTGCTGCGGAAGTGTTGAAAACGGGAGCGTACAAAATTCTTTTGTCGTTCAGCCGGAAAGCCCCACCAAGGTGCTCTTCTTGTTACGGCACTGGACTGCTAACACGAAGGTGGCGGGACGAAATCCCTGCTGTGACGGCTGCGATTCCGATGAATGCGATAATGTTTTGAGGAACGAGTACTTAGACTTAAGAGCAGAGTAAAAAAAAAACCCTGGAGGTTGGAAATTCCCGAGCCCTAAACTATAGCGAATCTGACCTTGTGTTGCTTTTCCAACGTTACAACACGTCTGCATTATTATGGGTAATATTTTATTATTATTATTATTATTATTATTATTATTATTATTATTATTATTCGTTTCGCCTGAACGCTGTATATTTATGACGAATCTCTGCCTTCAGTGTCACAAAACTGATGGATTCTCATCGACTTCTCGCAATATTCGCTTACCGACCATTCTCTAAGGTGATAGCTTTTTTTTTTTAGAGCACGTGGTGTGGTGACAACCTAAGACCACCGATAAATTGCTTGTCTTCTTTGCCTGTTCTGTTGCTATTAAACAAAGTTGGAATGCGGCATGTGTCTTAGGCTGTTGTCGAAAAAGTTCTTGCAGTATATGTCTGTGCGCTCGTAACAAAATATGACGCAATGAAAGTGCAATTGCTATCAGTAAAATTTTATTTTAAACAACCTCTGTTAAGGCGGTTAAATACCATTTCATTAGTCATTTTTACGCCCAACTGCACTTGTCATGTGCGGTAGGGCTGCGCACTTTCACACAGGTTACAACGATCATGTACGTGCCAGCATTTGACAAGAAGGAGTTATAAGACAGGCGGCTTCAATATTTGCACGCAGGATTTTTGTGCACGTGGGGACAGTAAGTACGTCTCTGTGGTAGCAAGACTACTGAATTTATGAATTCGTTGGTGCCCCCTGATGTCCCAAGATAGTGGAACACCAAGCCCTTCCATATAAGGACACTGTTCTAGTAGACGGAAGAAGATGTTTAGGAATGTAAAGGCTTCAGGCGCCTTCCTCTGCATTCGCCCTTGAGTCACTGTCTCTTTTAATAAAGCTAAAGTCTTGAATATATATGTTTAAACCGAGTGAACGGTCAGTCGGTTGGTCGGTTGGTTTGTCATTTCGCAAACTCGAAGGGGCGCAAACCAACCTGCTTGGAATTGAACAGCAAGCACACCCAAACCTTCGCCTCTCCCTCCTTGCTGCTGACTCACTCCTCAAAAATTTTATGGAGACAACTTCATACCTGACGTCTTCACACCCCACATGTCGTATATGTGACTTCAGCCTGAATTTTTCATGGCGCACTTTTTGAGAAGAACAGCCCGCAAACTTTGACGACATATTCTGTGGCTGTCCTGTTGATTCTCAACGGAAGATATCACCCGCATTTAGAAGAATAAACACGCTTCTTGTAAGGCAGTCTGCACTCAAAGCTTTGCTGCGTTAACGGAGCTGCCATTTTCATAGTCCGGCTTGACCTTAACACGTACTCGAAATGTGAGGCACATGCGGTGGCCCAGGGCACGTAAAGTGTTTTAGCTTGCCTTACCAATAAAGTTTTAGTTCCATCCGACATGATCGCATGTGTTCTATACACGAAAACACCCCTAACGAAGTGTGATGCCACTTGCTTTGCCTAAGTGTCGCCACCATATATGTTGCGTTACTTCTCTGAGAAAATAAAGGTTAACAGGCTATATTTAGCTTGACTTTTTTTCTTTCAAAAGATCAAAAGCCGCCGTTGGTGGTTGAGTATGCTTCTCGATGGAACGAAGCCGAACTAAGTGTATAAAAATTCAGAAGTAGCACACAATTAATGTCAGGATTGTATATCTAACGCTACAGTGTTGAAGAGCTCGTTTCAACCAAATTCCGGCGTCAGTGTCGTTCGTTGTGATCGAAGAATTGCCATCTTATGCGTGACCGATAAGTCGAGCGATGTGTAAATAAAATATTGATAAAAAAATCCTGGGTCAGAATGGGAACCACTCCCGGTCGTTCGGGTGCGAGTGGGGATTGAATTCGGATCGTTTGCGTAGCAAGAGGATGTTTTTCCGCAGGGCCATGCGTCTGCTTAGAAATGCATTGAAATTACCTTTCATATTTACTAACACGCGTGCAGTATAAAATGCTTCACAATGCAACAAGAAATAGTGCAGAAATAATGCGTGGTACAAGCGCCCATTGTCAGCGGGCGTTAGAATATGGGATTATCATAACGGCTTCGTGTATAAAGCCGGTCACCTTTTACAAAAAGTGCACACGCTATTGCACCTATTTTCTTAAGGCCACGTAGTAGGTGCAAGGCAAATTCAAAAAAGGTTTCATGCGTTGAAGCTTTGAAGTGTAATTTTAAAAAAAGAATATCAGAATCGCGTTCAACTCTAAAAGGCAAAGCTTTCAGGTCGCCTTATTTTCAAATGCGAAGCATTTCTCAGTGAACTTTCTTGACTTTGAGCATCTATCTATCTATCTATCTATCTATCTATCTATCTATCTATCTATCTATCTATCTATCTATCTATCTATCTATCTATCTATCTATCTATCTATCTATCTATCTATCTATCTATCTGTCTGTCTGTCTGTCTGTCTGTCTGTCTGTCTGTCTGTCTATCTATCTATCTATCTATCTATCTATCTATCTATCTATCTATCTATCTATCTATCTATCTATCTATCTATCTATCTATCTATCTATCTATCTATCTATCTATCTATCTAGCCGCTTACGACTTTTAGCTCTCCTGGCCGTACCAACAATGGTATCAATGTTAAAATTGGCATAGCAAAACATGACTGTATGACAAACATAATTAACCAGTCATACCATTGATATAATTATTATATGTCATGATTGTCCTAATTTACATTTCATGGTCCTGCTCCTCTTGCGGTGGTTTTGTTCTCGTGACATTTTGCAAAACTGATATGGTATGACTTGACTGCATGGCGAACATAAGTAACAGATATTCAAGTGAAAATCTTGGCACGCATGTCATGATTTTCATGTTATGACAGCTCAAGACTACACGCCCTGCTCATGAATTGCTCGTGGTCGTTTCAATAGCCTCACATATACTAAATTGGCTATTACGAGACGTGAATGGATGATGAACGTACATGACTGGTGCAAACATCATAGTCATGATATTAGTGTCATGTAAGAACATGACAACAAAGTACGCTCATGAAGGCGGCACGACTCTTTTCCGTGCTACACGTATACGAAATTTGCTGTTACATGACGTGAAAGGGCAACGAAGGTAAATGCCACGTCCAAACATGATAATCATAATATGCGTGTCACGTAAAACACGACTACATGCTACGCTCATAGCGCGCTCGCAGCCGTTTTGCTGGCTCTAACTATAACAAATTTAGTATCAGGTAGCTTAAAGAGACTACGAAGGTAAATGACACGTTCAAACATGATAATCATGATATGCGTGTCATATGTAAAGCATAACTACATGCTACACTCAAAGCTTGCTCATGGCCGTTTTGCTAGCTCCACATATCACGTCACCTGATGCTAAATTTCGTATCACGTGACATGAATGTACAACAAAAGTTAATGACACATCCAAACATAATAATCATGCACGGAATATTTTAAGCCCGGTTCGTAACATTATGTTGATATTAGACTGACATAACAACTTTTCTCTTTCGAGCTTTGAATATAAATGATCCACGCAGGACGTGGGATCTGACAATTTTTTTTTCAACAACTCGGCTACGAGAATTCTCGGTTGAATGTCTGTCAGCTGATTGATTGTTTTATTGATTGATATGTGAGGTTTATTGTTCCCAAACCACTATATGGTTATCAGAGGTGCCGTAGTGGAGGACTCCGGAAATTTCGACCACCTTGGATTCTTTACCGTGCACCCAAGTATGAACACACAGGCATACAACATTTTTGCCTCTATCGAAAATGCAGCCGCCGCAGCTGGAATTCGATCCCGCAACCTGTGGGTCAGAAGCCGAAAACCATAGCCACTATACCACAGCGGCGGGGCAAGAGTGTGTCAACTATACATTTATATGCTTATACTAACTACTGACCTCTGCAGAAAAATAGCAGTAATATATATATATATATATATGTATACGCATTATTTGTTACTGCTATATATATATATATATATATATATATATATATATATATATATAATATGACCCATTTTACTCGGTTAATGTCAATCATGATTAAGTCTGCCTATAGTGCCTTGCTCAGATGTTTCCCAACACATTGGAATTCATTTAGACGAACGCACATTACGCTTTCGAAGCAGACAAGAATATATAGAAAGGTACTTATTCTTACGCTACTTTGAAGTTAAGTATCGCACGACTTGGATCTTTTTGCAGTGGCACGCATTGTCTTGTCTTGCTTGCCGCATGCTACAAAGGAAGTTGCCCATAGGAGGTGTAACATCCGTACTTCCGGCTAATATTGCAGAGAGAAAGTGTAACATTAGAGTAAGAGCACCTGTGCTTATTTCTTGGCGGCCAAAGAGTTGTAAGATTGGTAAGAATATGCGAGTGTATAATCTATAGGTTATAAGTTTCCTTGCTTGGCGCAGACAAATATTTGTCGTATTATAGATTATTGTTTTCATGGCGAAATGAACTGTTTGCACTCTCCGAAATTGCACTTACTACACTCAAGCCATCCTCTTCAGTGACGTGTACAGCTGCCATCTGGTCACTGTCATCATATAGTGTTTTTTCCAGTTCGGCCCCGTGCATCTGAAACGAAAATTAATTCACTAGCTATGGTCAGATTTACACATTTAATATTGTGCACAATTTTTCGCATGAGGCTTGCGGGAATAATGCTTGGGAAGCATTGCCTTATGAGGGCATAAGTGTTTATTGATGGCCTAAAAAACAATATAACAGGAAGCAGTAATTGGAACAGAAAAAATGCCTGGCTTTATACACAATGGTTGCGTGATGTTTATCGAGCTCTACTGCCTAAAAATCGTGGGGTCCTATCCTGCTGTGGCGGCTGCAGTTTTATTGAAACTAAACACGCTTGAAGCACGTGTACTTCATTTTAGGAGCCTGTTTTAGTTCGAATGAATATACCGGACTATTCCCAATTGTATATTTACTTAAGATGAAGTGATCACCCTGTTAAAAATCCTGGCGTGGTGGATTCTCGAATCGTTGTAAAATATGGTGGAAATAATAGCAGATATGGTGGAAGCTGTAGTGGTCATATTGGCTGATGACAGCGAGAATAGGAAAAAATGGTGGAAGATGGCGGTGGTGGTAGCGAGCTGGTGGTGACGACAGTTGAAAATTATGGCTGATAGTGGCGATTCAAAACGTGTTTGGTGGATGACTTGGTGCACAAACTGCATGACGGTGGCGTGATGGAAGCTTGGTCGGTGATCGAGGCACAATGAAAAGCAGATTGTAGTATATGAAATCAATTATTTGCAGTATTTCACAATGGAATGCTCAGAAAATATGTTTACGGTTGAAAGAAACCAAAGCTGGTCACAAGACTTTCTACAACGTTTAATTTTATTCCTGTGGTGTCAACAACCCTTGAATTTTTGTAAAGTGTAGAGTGCGGTCGTGAATGTTTACATTTCGTTCAAGTATTTACATCAGCTTGACATGCGCGATGTGTTGACTTGTTGTGATGTTTAGAAATCTAGATGTGTCGCTGTCAACAGCGACAGTGAATGGGCTACATCACCACGCAGTTGTCGAGACATCAAGTAGTACCAGTTCGCAATGACCCCTTTCAACGGCAGAGTGGAGTACAGCCACGACCACTAGGTAACAAAAAAAAAACAAAGTGCGGCCTTCAGTGTCACATCGCCGTGAATGGGCGAGCACGTCTCGGCAGAGGTGACAGTTTCGGCCACTTTTTGGGCAAGGCGTTGATGGTGCACCCGTCAAAGTGGATGACACTTCGTGTTTTAATGTGGTTTCGTGAAATCTGAGCGTGTCCGTGTGCTTTTTTGTGTGCTTTCTCGTCCTTTTTTGTGTGTGCAATTGTGGTGGGGCCAGTTCGCCTTATGTTTTCTGTGATCCAGTACAATTCTTTGGTGCGCGAGTGTGTGGCAGGCGGTTTTCAAGTGGTGTGACGCCACGAAGCTATTTTGTGTCGCTCCGCAGCTGCAACACGAAAAGAGACACTACATTATAGCACAACACCTTGTATTTTACAGTTTCAAGAAACAAATCTGAAAGAGTATTACTCGTAACACAGCACTTATTTTTGTCACAAACTAGCGCTGAAGCAGGCGCGCACAGCCACCTCCAGACGACAGCATCAAATCACTCTGCCTAACGTTCTCTTCACAGACGGGCAGAACGGAACAAGAAAACAAACAATAAAAAGCACCCACGCTGCGCCCTTACACTCTACATACACGACAGCCAATCAGCACAGATGAGGAGAAATCGAGACATCGAAATGGGGCCTCTTTTGCGGGCGACTGTTTTCGCAGACGAACCGGCAAGAAGAAAGCCTTTTTTTCTGGCTGCCGCATGGTATGCGCATTAGATTCAGTTGGAATGTTCGCGAAACCGTGACGGATCTAAACGAGAGGTGTCGGAGGGCGGGACGGGTGGGAAACTTCAGCTAAAAAGTTGTGATGTTTAAGTGGTCTGAGTGAGTCGTGTATTACAGTCAGCCCATGTGAAAAAAACGAGTCATGACGCCGCTGGAGTACTTTGTTGAAGAGTGTCGCCGGGATGACGACCTGAGCTGAAGTTTGTTTTAGAGTGTTCTTGAAGGGAAATTTTCGAAGCACGTTCGAAGATTAGTAGAATACACGCGTGTGGTGAATATTTGCGGCCGCTAAGTATTGTTGCGCAGTTTAAGATCTGTGCGATTGAATTCGTAGCGTGGTAAGTTTTTTACTATTGTTTTTGTTGTTTTAAATACCTTCTAACCAATTATGTGAGTTGTAATTGGTATCTGGTGAGTGGGCAAGTTTGTGTGATGCCTTTGCTGAAAACACATGTTTTGTTTGTGTCGTAAACTCAAGCTTTTAAACTCTGTCCTTTGACTTCAACCGGCGTTGTTAATGAACAAAAAGAGCCAACATTTATGCTGTGCGCCTTTTTGCAGTCCTTTACGGACTGTCAATACGTCCGCCCGTGGTATCTGCCCGGCAATCGCCTCCCCAAGAACCGAATGAGTGACCATTTTTATTTTAGGTAAGTCAAAAGGAAGAATTCATGGAGAGTGTAGAGGCCTATACTCTACGACTTATTGGCCTTCCGAGAGCAAACTCTTCACAGAGATAGTGCAATAGGTACTCCTAATAACCATGAAGAATCTATTCGGTGATGTGCAACTACAAAACACGTCACCACTACGGCGTGTCTCATAATCATATGGTGATTTTGAGACGTTAAACACCACCAATCAATCAAATCAACTACAAAACGCGTTAAGTTCTACTGTGCCGCATAAAAATGCGTGTGAAAACGTTTGTCTTAAGAGGAACAGTGGTGCCAGAGCGGGCGCGAAGTGAACTAGATCCCTGTCGCCGCTTCGGTGGCATAGAAATGGAAGGCATGGTTGCATGTACACTTTCCAATGACCAGTCATGCAGGCCCTGAGCGAATTCAAAGAAACGAACCGTGAGTGGAAACAGCTCGAGATCATGCTGCAATATAGAAATATATAAGAAGTCAGGAGAACATGTACCTCTCGCTGCCACTCATATCTAATGTAGACTAGATCTATTGTAGCAGCAATGCGATAACGCTAGAACTAGTTCATTCATAAAATAGTTATGCAATTTTTTCGGCAGCGGGTTCCTTCACAAGACGGCTTTTTTGGTCACATTCGTTGAAACAGCACGTCATAATCTTCTAGAAAACACTAAACGATAACATCGTGCTACCTTGTTATCACTTTGTCTTTAAAAATGATGAAGAAAGAAGTGGCCCACTGATAAACGACAAGCTGACCCACGTCATCCGTGAACTTCAAATGGCTTTGTGCGAAATTGAGCCTATATTGTTACTAACGATTGCGGGACCTGGTACCAGATACAGCCTTTTTATTTTCAACGTATAGTTTATTCTCATGAACTTCAACCAGCGCTTAAAGTGTCTCTTTTCTAAGGCCACGCCCATCAAGAGGGTCCCGCCTGGTCTTAGCGGGTGACTTTCGTGCTGCTCTCAACGCTTAGGGCTACTGGTACGACACTCGTGCTGGGGAGGTCCCCTAGAGGAAGACAAAAAGAAGAACTTTGGGCTTGTAACAGACATCGCGTTTATCATTGCACTTGGTACTTCATCAAGCCGGGACACGACACTGCACATTACCGTTTACCGGAACCTAGTAGAATTCAAGTGGACTAACCCCATTCATTACATCCCGGCACTTCCCTATGAGTCTGACAGAAGACAGCGCGAGGTAAGTCCCGAGTAAGCCGCTGAGACGAGTTGCACAAACATACGAGATGTCTGAGAAGCTGCACCCTAAACGCTGGATGGCGCAGACTGGCGTCTACATCCAGCCTAACGCAATGGAGGTTACCACAAACTTCACCATAAAGAATATGAACAGCGGACGGGTTCACCTACTCGATGCCCAGCAGTTCGTCATGATAAGGTTTAACCGCAGGATTCGCATGAAGATTGCCGATGTCAAAAGAAACATGAAAGAGCGCTGTAAGGTCTTTTCTAAACAGGAATACGACAAGGTTCGCAAACTGTTACAGGAACAGATGCGGAGAACAAACTCTAAGAAATTCTAAAGCACATGTTGAAAGACTTCATCACCGAATCGAAGCAAAATGTACGTTGACTCACATAATAACTCAAGCAGATAGGCAAGAGTCTTCGGGCAAGCAGGTAGTTGCTGAATCTGAAGTTTCTTTCCATCTCCTGTAGGCCACAACAGTCACCCGGCTAACCCAGAGCTGGACGCGGACATCGCAAGTGAGGTGATGAAAGAGGCAATGCGCGACCTAAAGGCTAATCGACACCGGGCTCAGATAACAAAAAAAAAACTGATGAAAAGTTGGTGGAGCACCTGACGGATGTAAGCAACCAGACGTGAAGACGTAGCAGTACCAGAGATGTTGGAGTGGCTGCCACCATCCACATCAACAAACTGGACAAACAACTCAGCCTCAACAAGCTATGACCATTTGCACTCTCCCTATGCGTTGGGTGGCCGAACACGCGATCTATATGAGAGTTACTCTGCAACTAAAGGACCGTGTCATTAAGCCCTCTCACCGCTACATAATAAGCGTCAGAAAGGGTCTCTTGACGCAAGAAGCCAAGATTATCATAAAACGTCCTCTCATCAACTGCAAGAGAAGTTACTTGAGAGCGGTATAAAAACAACACTCGGAGAGAACCATTGACAGCGCTCGCCACCACTTCGCGCTGAGTCACTTCTTGAGCCTCGGCCTTGCGGAACACTTATCCAACTATGCAAGGCGATTCCTAACGAATAGAGACATTATTCTTAATATGGGCACCTTCGCAGTGGAACACGTAAGACTTTGCTCGGAGGGACGCTCTCCAGCTTAGTCTCATTGACAAGCCTCGTAACCATCGCCTTGATCGGTCTGTTTAAACACTATCCAATGTCAACGACGTTATTCACTTGACCCTTGCAGACGACCCCTCCGTAAGGTGTACTGAAGGATGCGATGGACTAATAGACGCTGTTGTGGAGAAATTTATTGAGGTAAGTTAGATAACTAAAACTGTGTGGTCTTCGCCGCTCGTAGCAGAAGTCACAAGTGCTGCTCTGCAGGCCAAATCGCAAGGGCTGCGGACTAAGAGGCTGAATAAAAAGACATCAATTTTAGAGGAAGTGAGGTAAATTTCGTGCCCAGTGTGGCCTCTCTCCAGATTTCAAGATATGAATGTCAAATAAAAGCACTCCATAATTGCTAGGGCAATAATATTTGCCAGAAAAACTAAGAGTGTGATCAGATATACAAAAATGCTTGCAAACTGGTAAGAGAAATTCGGGGAAAACAACCTCAACGAACTGCTCCGACACACAGCGAGACTGGCCGATCGACAAGAGGACTGGTTAGGCTGAAATGAGAATCGGAACACTGCTACCTCAATTGACAAACTGGCGAAAATGTTTTACGTAGGACGGAGTCAATAAGCTCCGCCACACAGAAAAGTAAAGAGGCCTAAGGCTCTGAAACTTCGGCTAGCTCAGGTTGAGGGATGCCCTAACGTTGCGATATTAGACAAGAGTTTTTCTAAAATAGAGCCAACTAATGCATAATTCTTTCGCATGACTGTAGCTAATCTAGGAGATATGTTCTTGCTCTGCCTAGGGTTACGGTATGGTAAAGTCATCACGCCGTCTAAAAGGGAGCCTGCTTTGAACACTTACGCAGACGAACAAAAAATATGGTTTTGCCAACAGCTTCACGTTTGGTCTTTCTGCTGCATCATGGGAGTGGCCCGCAATGTGCTAAAGCGTGTTGCAATGAACCACAACGTATTTATTCAATCATCCATCAAAATTTTTCATTAGCTTGGACCAAGTACCACGAATGTATGATGCAAAGAGCGAGAACCGCATTCGCAAGCAACCGACATGACCTCGGACCTTCAGAATGACAGGTGGCTATCCACAATCCCATTACAAATGCTTAGTAAAGGGCTTATACTTTGTCGCGTTCTCAAAAAAGCTCTAAACATTTAGTGTTTTTACTCGGCGCACGTAAACAATAAGTCTGCCAATGCACTTGCTACGCTGTGACAAGCTTACAATCACCTGCTGGCCCTTCTTCAAACATAAAATTTTTGTCACGTTTTGGTGTTTCTAGCAACGGTACATGGGAAGGTATGCCTTCAGAGTCATTGTCAACTTAAGGCATGGAAGTATTGACCCATGGCCAGGATACAAACGAAGTCTTGAATGGCAGGGATTGTGGCTTTTACTCTGCTCTTATAGAAAATAAACGTTCCTTTTACGATTACGTCAAGACCATTAAAATAAAATAATTTTTTTATACATTTAATACCTCGGATTATGATTGAAAGGAGCGATTTGTCAAGTCTCTTGAAATACAAAATCAGGAGCTTTCACCGTATTTCGATTTCTCGCTCGAGCACAACGCTGACATCAGAGTGTCCATGAAAGTAGCCCTAAAGTGCTACATACTCATTTCAACATTGCTGTTTTATGTTCATGGAAAAATGGCTCTATGAAAGAGGTCAATTGAGCCCATTGAGTGCTTCTTGGACACATGAAGGAATGGCAAGTATACTTACGTGATATGATATGGGTTCTCCATCCTTAGTTGTGTGGATGAAAATTTCCTCCGAAAACACAGAGCTTTTCCGTAAGTTTAGCGTAATGTCTTCATTTATCTTTAGGATTTTTACGCTATCGTCTGATCGGCTTTGCAGCATTCTCGGATATACGATGACCTTGCCTGAAACAGCGTTTTCACTATCACAAACTTCCATTGAAAATCTATCAGTTCCAGAAAAAATTTTCTACGTGAAATAATCAATCTATCAGAATCGACTTGACGATCTAAGAAAGTCACATATGTATAACTCATTGACAAAATTGTTAGAATCTACCACATAAAATATCATTTACTGGTACTTCTGTTGGTGCACTGTATGATTTATCCAACGAAAATGTTTGCAATTCTGAGTTGCAAAGAAATGCATTCTAAATATTACGTTTTAATAATGACGCACATTTCACACGCTCCGCAATATTCATTATACATGGACTCCAAGGACGTAACAACAGATAAATTTGATGACAGTATTTTGACTTCACTGGAGATTATATGTAACAGTGTTAAAACCATACTATCGTTTATTGGGGAGAGTGTAAAGTTATAAAGCTAATTAACAGAGCAGTTATGACTGAATCCAGTGATTAACTATATTACCTTTTGTTGCACAGATAGAAGTGACGATAAGAGTATAGCTCCACAAACTACCAGTGCCACAATACATTGTGATCGCAGATGAAGCGCGAAATGTCACTTTCGTGGCGACAAGAGCTTTTATAGCGTTTATAAGAGATGTTCTATCATATCAGGTAAATAACAGGGCGACAATGTCATGGGGACCTGGATGTATGCGCTTAGGCACTTGGACAGTAATATGAAGGCATCAGTTAACCTTCAAACCTGTTTGAAGGAACACCATTTAACACGACATCTATAAATATGACATATTTATCTCGACGAGGCAACATAACGGGGATGGACCAATCAATTCTAATTGAAAAGGTGAAGTTTAGTCATCACTGCAAAACAGTACTAAACCTGGGTTATACTTAGCTTCATAGCGCTAAAGAGCACTTTTGACAGAAGTTCTGGCGTCAGCGTCGGCATAGGTATTGTTAGTTGTGAGCGAAAAATTATTTTTTGCATGACTGAACAATTGAAAAAAAGCATTAAATAATAATGAAATCTTTTTTCCGAGTCATAATCAAACGACGCTGTTTGCGTGGCAAGATGTCCTACCACATAGCCACGCGTCTGAACCAGAATACAGTTAAAATGACTTCTGATTGGAAATGCAGTGAAGATTACGCTCATGCTTTGCAAACAGACGCGTCCTGTGTAAATACTTCACATTTCAACATGTAGTACCTCAGTAATACTGCGTGTTAGCAGCGCACATTCTCGTTGGAAAGCAGGAAATTTCGCCTATCACAACAACTTCGGTGTTCAAAGCTGGCCTCTCATTACAAATTTAAGGCGCACACTTACTGGGCGGATTTTATAAGGATAACGCTTTGGGTGCATAGCAAGTTCAAAAATTTTTTATTGATATGTGAAATGTAACGTCCCAAAACGACGATATATTTATGAGAGATTGCGAAGTGAAAAGCTCCAAACTCTGACCCCCTGGGGTTCTCCATTGTGGAATAAAATGTGAGCACACAAGCCTACAGGGTTTTCTTCTGCATCGAAAAGGCAGCCGCCGCTGCCGGGATTCAATTTCGCGACCTGCCGGTCAGCAGCCAAGTACCTTAGCCACTAGACTACGACGGTGGGGCTTCAAACAAAGTTATCATGCAAAACAGCTAGTGCTTTGAAACATGATACTCATTGCACAAAATGAAGTCATATGTGAACGCTTCATTGGCCCAAATCACTTACAAATTTATCAACTACATTGCTGTATTGCACAATTCAAATTTATTGAGTAACATGATAGAGTAACAAACATACTCTGAGTGGTTGAAGGACGCACTAGAGACTAAACTTCGCTGTCGCGGTCAATTCATAAATAAGGTGCATAAGGGTATTGATTTCATATGTGGAGTTTAACGTCAAAAAACCATTATATGATTTTCAGGGACGCCGCATTGGAGGACTCTGGAAATTTGACCACCTGGGGTTGTGTAACGTCCACTCAAATCTGAGCACACGAGTCTGCAACATTTCCGCCTCCATCGTAAACGCAGTCGCTACAACCGCGATTCGATCTCGTGACCTGCGAGTCAGCAGCCGAGTACCTTAGCCACTAGACCACCACGATGGAGTGGCATAACGGTCTCCTGGTTTTTTTTAATCTCTAGAAAACATTAAAAGCTTGCAGGTTTGTACATTTATTTGTCGTTTTTTACTCAAGAGCAGGTAGACCTTATTTTTTTTTCAATTTGGTTGTCTTGCAGTAACATCAGCATGCTGGGGTTCAAGTAACCCCGGTGCATAAGTTGAGTTATTTCTCAAGTTAGCTGGCACGTTTGACCTTTTTGACAGATTGCGCAACGGCTGACACTGCAGCACTGTTCTATTTGCTATCAGTGACAACCTTGAATTGCTTGTTATTTGACGCTTTTATTTGCCGGGCACTAGCTCGATCATTTAGGGAGCTTCATTTGGAGCATGCCTACGGCTGCTTTTTCAAACATCCCGAACACTTGACAATGAGTCCTTTCAAGCCTGTGCTTATGTGCCATGGTGGAATCCTAACGCGCCACATGCAATTCAGGCACCACCGCGGTGGTCTAGTGATTAAAGTACTCGGCTGCTGACCCGCGGGTCGAGGATCAAATCCCGGCTGCGCCGGCTGCATTTCCGATGGAGGCGAAAATGTTGTAGGCCCGCGTGCTCAGATTTGGGTGCACGTTAAAGATCACCAGATGGTTGAAATTTAGAGAGCCCTCTACTGCGGCGTCTCTCATAATAATATGGTAGTTTTGGGACGTTACATCCCCATATCAATCAAATCAAACACATGCAATTCAGTGCGTTCTAGTGATGTTGTGTATGATAGCTCTCTGCGACAGGGAACATTGGTGAGGCGTCGTTGCAAGTGCACCATTTTCTCGTCAGAGGGAGCCTACAAAAACAGTTAGGAGTTTCCCCTCCTTTCAGCGCATCTTCCTGACCATTATTCGCGGTGTGCAATTGTGCGCCATTCTCAGAGAGCCTCAGACGTGCCACAGGTAAAGAGCACATGACAAGCTCGTGCTTCTACCAACCAGAGCCCTTCTATATTTGCCTCCCTCTCGCCATGAAAATAGGAGCTCTGCTGAGCGTTACGCAGGCTCACAGAGAAAGTTCGAATTATAACAGCTGCACTTTTCAAAACACTACATGGAATACCCTTGCTCTATATTTCATGCATACCAAGAGGTTTCTTTATTTAATGTCACAACGCATGGAAGAAGAGGAGGATCATGCCAGGAATCTCACCAATTCAAATGCAAATCGAGTTAGTGGATTAAAAGTCCAACCTTTACAAAGTGCCCAGGCATCATAAAGCATTATTAGCCAAAAGCAGTAGAGTGTGCAGCTGCGCGTTCTACACGCCGGGTGGGCACTTAACTGATACGCATTATGCTGAATTGTGTGGCCACTTGAAGATAAGTTAAAACCAGCGAGTCGTACTAGGTTATCTCTGTGTAAGCAAACGTCGTTATCCATGCTATTTGGGAAAATCGTTCTACAGAACGTTTTAGTGTTGAACTGTAGTAATGAAGGCAGTTTGTGCGAATAATATTTATTTCTTGCTGTCTTTTGTGCCTTACAATAAGTAATAAATGCTCCATATTGTCCCAGTGCAACGCGAACAAAGGGTGACAGCAGCTTACGGCATCGAAAAGAGTGTGTACAGGATCAGCTGTACAGCTGATGATGATGATTTTGCAGCCATGGCTCGTACCCACTCAAGGGGATCGACCAAAAATCAATGACTTAATTCAGTAAGATTTTTTTGTATTCAATATCGAAACCACCTGCCACAGAAAAAAAAGAAAGAAAAAGGAAAGACACCCCAGGCAGAATAAAAGGACTGCAATAGTTGTTTGTCACTCGTTCAGATAAGACAATCATTCATTACCTTGAATAGGAGTTAGCGTGGTTAAGCAAAGGTCCTGTTTATGTAGGAATATTTTTGCAGCAATATAATCACTCAAGTAAAAGCTTAATTGTTTTACTTTCATTAAGGCACTTGCAAACTGCATAAGAAAGTTTCTCGTGGCTGAAGCCCATATCGGAAGCACCGAAGAAAAGTATAATTTCTAGAGTGAAGTTCAGCCCAAGGCTAGCAAATGGGTGGACTAAGAGTGTTTTTTTAGCAATTTGTATTGGCGACATTATAAAAAATAGTACTCTATTGTTTCTGATTCTGAACTAAAGTTGCACAGTTGTGATATTGCCATATCAGCCATATGTGAATAAAAATTTACCGGGGGGACACGACATCAAAATCTGGTTATAATGGTTTCCAACTTTGTTGTAGGACACCAATGAATTTTCCACGGAAATATTAAGTGAGCAAATTCGGATGTTGACATTAATGCTTCTATAGCGTCTGCATCAAGCGCAAGTATTCTATGTTTTGTCGCAGTTATAGTGGCCACTTCGCGAAGGACTGATAGTACTGGACCTTCCAATGCTGTTCGCGCTAGAGAGTCGGCAATTTCATTTACTACTAAGCCGCAATGACCAGGTACCCATACTAAATTCAGTAGCTACAGCTGAGGAGGGACTAGCAGAAGAAGCGTCTTTAAGGCCATCAATTTTGTTGACGCCGTAATCAACGTATCTACTGACGGAGAATCCATGATTATAATCGCATCATAGGCATTCGAAGGAAGCTTTCTAAGCGCTAGAACTATTTTCAACAGTTCAGCTTCAAAAAATGGGGTGGAATCTAGTAATATAAATGAAAAAGACTAGTCAAGCGAATGGGAATATATGCCTACACCTGTCTTTTCCTCCAGTACTGAAGCATTCGTGGCTATAATATTATTCGTTTCTGCTTGTGCAAGATAATCCTGCTGTCGGCCATTTAAGACCCTATATGATTGTAGTTTGGGCTTAGAGGGAAACATCTTATCGAATTCTATCTTAAGATTTTGATTTGTAACTTGCGCCGTAATCACATCTTGAATTTTTACATTTATTCTAACTAGTTGTTTCAGGACAAAAGCAATCTGAATTGTTAGAAACCGTCGCCAATGAGCAAGTAAAAAGGTGTCTGGGTCAATTAAAAGAGCATAATCACATCGTCTTGGCGCATAGCTATAAAAGTTTAGAAATGTCTGAACCGTTAGGATACGAGAATGGCAAAGCATTGTAGGTAATCGTGCTTCCTGCCTTGGATTTCCGCAGTACTGTCAAAATAAGCGACGGTTGTACCCTTCGGGAGGTGTCGGCGCTCAGCACTGATGTTAGTGAGCAGCAAGTTTGTGCATACCGCAGTGACAGTGACAAGACCTCGAACAACTGAAATACCGTGGCTAAAGATCAGCGAGCTTATTTGGTCGGCAATACCATCGCTCTGAATAGCTCATCCCCTTCTGGCTCATCCCCTGCCACCGAAACAAGTATGCTTGATCTTTGCGCGACAACCACATCGTTATGCATCAGACGTAAAGGGTTATGTCTTGGTTCTGAGCAATCGACTAAAGCAGGGCTGTTGTTGCGAAACGTAATGACACTGTCACAGATGTTGACGACCGCGTCATGTTCTCTCAAAAAAATTCATTCCTATATTCAGGTC